TTGGCTGGAGAATCTCAAAGTGAAAATTCATGGTCGAAACTCTTAAAGGTATGCTTGGTATGCATCTTATCTGTAAATCGCAAAGTGCTTAAAGAAGTAGCTGGTGTTGTTCCCAACTGACCCATAAGGCACAATAAATGAAAGCGATTTCTTTGACAGAGAAATATAAGCAGCAAAGGTGTGGCACCCAGGAATTACCTACATACGGCTGGTTTTATGCCTCTCCTAAGGCAGCTGAGCTGTATGTTTTAAAAGGAGTTACTGTTATCATCCGCTACAATGGGACAACTATTTAGTTAGCCTAACTAGGCCACAGAGGGGTTGTGGGGCCCAAAGCAAGTAGCTTACGTAAAATTATCCCGTGTGTAGAATATATGTAGAATATACGGGCTGCACCGTGCCACTCTAACGGCTCATACACAATTTCATAGAAACCCTGTTTGCAACGTGCTTCATGTACGCCCATCAGAGAGCTTGTGCTCCTGAGAGCCACCGAGGAAGATGTGGACCCCCATGATGGTTATAAACGGCCAGGAGCCATCTCAGCTGGTAGCAGCGTAGTGTGTTTACGGGACACCCTTGGCGTCAGCCATTTGCCTGAAGCCCACCCTGAAGAAGCCATGTTTTTTCGCAAAAACAAGCTAAAAATGAAATCCACGCTCAGGCACACAGAGACACTTGTGTTTTCCTAATTTTGTGTTCTCCTAATTTTGTGTTCTCCTGATTTGTGTGTTCCTAATACAGCCCTGAACTGATCACAGAAACAGCAATCTGGATGCAGCCTCATGTTTGTGACTCGGTTGTTGAAACCTGCTCTCGTGATAACCTGGTTTTGCACATGTAACCTCACTCAGGAAAGGAAGAAAGAGCCTTTTAAGCTGAAGCATTGGTCTCATCGCGGCAGGCCTGCTTTCCTGACAAGAGTCAGTGGGTGCTGCGTTGTGGGGCAGGCTTTGGAGGTCTGACAGCAGCCTGGTCCTGGACGGCTCTAGCTAAACGGGCTTGACAAGACCCCATGGAAATTCTTCTCCATGCTCAGTGGCCAGTGACCAGAGGAGGTCTCAAACCTCTGCAGATCTTTCCTGCGTGGCACGAGGCAGCAGTGCAAGGTGTTCCCAGCCGGGTGGCTGCAGGACCGAGCACCGAGCGCTCCCGGGTCACCACACGCCGCTGTGGGAGAGTCCCTCAGACAGGCCCAGTGTGTGGGAAACAAGATCTCAACTGGGTTAATTTTTTTTAGAAGGGTGTTCTTACTTTACAATGAAGTAAAGTCAAGTCCTGCTCAAAATGCATTTCCAGTATCCTTCTAATGAACATAAAGGAATTGCAGCTTGGATTACACTGTGAACACTTTTGGTGTCTAAAGGGATTTTTCTACATGTGCTTACTATGGATGTAATATTGGCCGTATTGAGAACACTATTGCCTTGGTGCCCAGGTGATGCAGGGTACAGAGACTGACCAGAAGGTACAGTTTAGCCCGAGTAGGATTTAGCTGACTGAGCTGCATCGCTCTATAGGCTGTGGTTATAACAATATTTTTGTTATAGTAGTGCAGTGCAATATTCCATCTAAACCACGACACAAGGCAAGGTGCGGGCCTCTCCAAAGGGAAATGGGAAAGGGCAGATCGGCATTATTGGCAAAAAAGGATGAATGGTTGTAAATGGATTAATAATGATAATAATAATAATAAAAAATTTATGATAGGTCTTGCAGAAAATGTTTTTCAGTTACTCAGGGTGACTTGTTAGATATAAGATAGCACACAAGAGAACTAATTTTAGCAAAGCTTTTAAAAATCAAAAACTTTTAAAAACCAAACTCTGGGGACTTCTTGTTTGTAAGCGATGCAAATATTAGAGAATGAAAGTGTGCTTGCTGCAGGTGTCATGAACATGCACTATAGTTGGTCAGCCCATGTCAATGTAGTCATTCATATAGATCAGCTGACCAGGTCGGCAGATGAAAGGTGGATGAAAATGTGCTGCCAATCATTTGTTAGCTTCAACTTCCACTAAGAATACTATTTGTATCTTGGCTGAAAAGGACATATTTTTATTTTTAGCTCTAATGGAGAATTGTTTGTTTTATCAATATCCTACTGCCTACTTGATTACTTCAAGTAGAAATGAAGATTCATTAGGAATATTTTCAGATGCAGAAAGTACACTACAGTCTAACAGATTAAACATTGATAGTGTATCTTAATTTTCAACAGATGATGCTGGTGTTAACCAGGGGGACTATCCACAGTTAGTGGAACAGAAAAAGCATTTGCTTTCACATAAACACCCAGCTTATATGCTGCAAAATACAAAGCATGTTGCATGTGAGTCATCACTTCAAATCACTCCTTAAGAAGTTTTCAATCATTTTTCCCTGTTTGCCATAGGAGTATCAGAATTACACGAGACACTTCATTTTGTCACTTTTGAATACATCTACCTCTCTGCTCTTCCAGATATCACAAATTACCCTTGTACTGAATGCGATGATTGCTTGTAGTTTTAAGTTTAAGGATGACAAAGACGGACAAGATGCAGAAACACCCACGATGACTGAACACTGCTCATTTTTCTGTCACAGCATGATAACGCATTCTGTGGTATCATCTCGCAAATGCTAACATTTGTGACAATATGCATTCATCCATAGGTGAGTTATAGTAAAAACTGATGACAAACCCTTCAGTCATAAATGCCTACCTGAAACATGGCTGAGCATTCAAAAAGCAGGGGAGAGGATTTTATTCCTCAACAAGCCCTGGCTCTCAAATACTTCACAGTGCCTGACTTCATACTGGATTTCAGCTACAAAATTGCTTTAACGTGATTTGGCTATTTTCTCTGAGGAAAAAAAAAGGCTGAGTTTTTAGAAAACTGTAACTGTTCTTGATGTATTGAAACCTGGCAAGAAACTGGGTGTAGATAGCTGAGTGAGACCTCAGCTACAGTCTACTGCCACATGCATGAGTGTTTCTGAAGCCATCTTTTAAAAAACATTCGATATCCAAATCCGTGTTCTCCCAGTCGTTTGGAGCTTATTGTGCCCATTTCTACCCCAGGTGTGGCAGCAGAAAGAACATGTGTAAACAGACCTTGACAGCTTGCAGGTACCAGCATATTGCACTAAGGGTGAGCTTCAAACGATATTTGTTTTAATGTGAATATTTTAAAAAAATCATGCATAAAAATGACATATTGCAGTGTTATAAGACTGGTAAATGGCATTTTAAACATTATATTTAGCTGAACGATAGCTGAATTTGTGGGTAGTATAAATGTGGACTACACAGGAAAATATATAATATCCTAAGGAAATGGTGGTTACCTAAGGTGTCCTTTACAAAAAATACCTGGCTTGTCTTTTATTTCCAACTGAAAACAGCAGCCATGGTGTCTTCAGAGTCGACTTTTCCTTTAAGTGACATTCAAATTCCAAGGCCAAACCTGTAAAAATGTCTCCTGCTCTAACACCGACTCGATGTTGGGGGGGACGATCGGGTCCCCGATGGGACCTCTCGCGACGGCAGGGATATTGGGCCGTGTCGGTACCACGGGGAGCCGCTGGCAGGATGCTTCAGCCAGCCAGAATTGCACCGGCTGGAGCGTGAGAGGCAAAGCAGCCATGCCACTGCTAATCTACCAGCAGGCTAATAAGCGATCTTGGATTATAGGTAAGGCACGGTGTCACGTTAGCCCGTTCAAATTGCTTCCATGATGGAGCCACTACCTCTTCGCAGTGCCGCATCTCATCGCGGTGGGTGTTCCAGCCTGGGTCTGTGCACGCTCAGTGCCTTCTCATGCACTCCCCTGCACAGTGCACAAATCGCACGCAGATTATTAATTTGTTTTATTTAGTCCGTTACTGACTTATGAATATGAATTCAGCAAAATGCTGTGGAGTTTGTAGTTCAGCATGGATGTCACTTTTCGCCGGGAAAGGTGCAATATAGTAGTGTGTCTCTGTGAGTAAATGAGGTCTGTACTTGGGTGCAGACCCTCTCCCCCCCGACAAAATCCACCACGGGAGCAAGCGACACTTTGCCTCCTCTGTGCTTAACCCTGTTTCACAGAAACCGGCTTCGATCTGCAAGGGGTGCAGCTGCTTCCCCATGTAAACACATCCGAGCCCTAACAAAATACTAGGTGGTAGCACGTGTGGGTTCAAAGGGAGAGGGCTCCAAACGTGGCTATACCACTCCTGAGCTGACAGGCAGAAAACTCTGCCCGCCCTCGGCTGGGTGGGCTCTGGGGGCACGGCAAGATGGTGGTTCATCTCGACGTTGCTCTCACAGCATGTTGCAGACAGGCCCTGACAGGCCCCGGGCAGCCAGAGCCGCGCACAGGGCGCGTTCGTAAGGCACGGCCAGATCAGAGCTTAGTTTTTCTTCTCCCTCTATGGCTATACACAGGCCGTACCATATTTTTAAGGGTAAATGTTGTTTATTTTCCCCTGCAGCTGTGTCCCAAAAGGGGGAGGCAGGGCAGTCACACACTCTGTACTGCCTTAGCTTTATAGCAGCTAGAGGAATTTTTTTTTTAATTGTAAAAAATAAGGCATAATTTTATTTTTAAATGGAGTCCAAGAAAAGCGACTTTCAACCTCCGGGTGGCAAGTTTAAAAGCAACCACTCTCTAATGCAAATGGTTTCCTGGCTTGTCTCCTGGATTCACCTGCTGTAATGCAAATCCCTTAGGAGGCAGAAAGGTGTAAACACAGCTGTGAGATGCTCCGGCTGCTGGGGAGAGGCAGGAAGGAAAGCGTTAAACGCCGAGGGTGAACAGCACCCGATTTGTTACCTAGTCAGCAGGGCAGAGAGGATCCCGCAGATAAACCCAGCCTCGAAGCTTCTCCCCAGCTCAACTGGTTATTGCTCGGTGGCAGCTCTTACTCACCTGAATCTAGGTGGAGCTCCCTCCCTCCCTCCACCCCTCCTTCCCTGCCGTGTCCCTCCTCATTAAAAAGCTTTTCTCAACCATCTGCACACGCGCTCGCAGGTCCCGGCGCTCGCTTTCCAGGGGCTTTGCAGAAGCACCCTTCGCTTCGCGTCCTTGAGTCCGTGGCAGAGACGGCCACCCTCGTCCCGTCAGCCTCCCCCTGCCCTGGAAGATGGTGAAGTACGGCCTGGACTACACGCGGTGCAGATGGATCCTGCCCCTGCTCCTGGGCATAGGCGTCATCTTTGGTATCATTGCGCTGGCGGGCAGGGGCTGGCTGGAGTCGCAGACCTTGCCCTACATGCACCAAGCGTCGTTATGGGAGAGCTGCAAGAGGTCTGAGCAGGGTGGGGAATGGACCTGCGAGTCCCTCATGGGTTACGGTAAGCGCCTGCAAGGGTGGTGGGGAGCAGTCTCTGAAGCAGTGGGTCAAGCCTCCGAGCTCATCTTCCATCAGCCTTCCTAACCATATCGCCTAATATCTGGCATTTTTATATGAGGTTATGGGCAATAGGGACTGCCAGTGAAATACATCAAGGCTTTTGACTAACAGGATGAAGAAGAAAAATGTCCTGACCCCTGTGCAGAAAGAAACCTGGTTGCTTTAGATGGTGGGTTGCACAGTGAAAAAAACCACACATGGTAATGTACCAGTGCAGAAAATATTACAGTATTTAAGGTTTTCTTCCTCTCTTAGAAGAAGCTAGTAACCTCTTCTCACTAATCGCTGCTTTCCAAAACTTAAGAGCTACTGCTGATCTAATGTCCAAACAGCAAGTTGCACGGGTAAGCCCAGCATTGGTGTGATAAGCCAGTCCTGAGTGCCCGCAAGAAATGGGGAGGTAAAAATGTAAGATGGTAGGAAGATATTCGCAGGGAGTGTCAGGCTGCAGAATGCTGCCCTGAAACTGCTCCGGTAGGTGGGTCATGTGAAAGACTCTCCTTCTGATTCTGAAAGAAAGCTTTAAAAGATGAAAGAATTTCTTGTTTGTACTGAGTTTTTTGTTAAGTATGCTATTAAACATGTTGACCCAGGTGCAACCTTGAGCTTGAAAAGATGTAAACCACGGAGTCTGGGAAATAGGCCAACAGAAGGTTCACTCTAGATGTGCCCTTTTTCTTTTTCTTTTTTTTTTTTCTCCTGTGTATCTGCTATTAGCCATAGTCTGAAATTATTGTGAGTGATGAGCTGTTAGCCTGAGCCAGGAGGAAAGTTCAAGTGTTCTTACAGTTTATGCTAATTAAAATTAAAAGGAAGAGCATTTTCTCTAAGGCTCAGAATCTCAGCTGCTCTTGTTGAAAATGAGTGTAAAAACACTTGCAGAAGCAGTCTCAGGGATCATTTATTAAAACTTTTCCAAATTGTTCCTGAAAGTTTATTATCTATGGCCAAACTCTACCTGCTATGCACAAAATTCAGGCCTCTCTGAGTGCAGGGCTCCAGGACAAGACTGGCTCCATCCAGCATCACGCCCAGTCCTGCCCTCAGAGCTCCTGCGTCAGCTGTGTGGCTGGGCATAGACCAAGCCAGTTTGCTGCCGCTGGTACATGGCGCTGGAGAGCAGGAGAGAGACCGTGGTGCTTAGCAAGGGGCTTCTTTAGAGAAGTTTCCATGAAAAGTGAGCCCTTGTCTTGATCGCCAGGTTAGGCACTACCCGTGTCATGAATGCCAGCTTTAACTGGACAGAAAATATTTAGAAGTTTCACCTTGCTTCTCTTGATAATGCAAGAGAAGTATCACCTTGCTTCTAGGTCCTACATGGTTGGTTGGCATTTCACTTCCTTCCTTACCCTGCCTCACTCTTAAATGCTTAAATTCTGCAGTTGTATGCAGTTTCCCACAGGACTGCATCTACAGACAAACCAGAGAGGTCATCCTCTATGTGGACTATCCTGCAATGTTTGGGGTTACCATGAATCACATCCACAATAAGTCCAGCACTTCTAACACGTTAGAAATGTTGGACTTAGTACAGACATGAAGAATATTCTCCAGCGTGTACATTGGAGAGTCAGTTGATGCTTCTGAAAGCATTAGAAACGCTCTTCATGTGCTGCATAGCTGCATTACGCTCTCAATGGGCACGCTTCTATCATTTGACCTCTTCAAGCTTACTAAATACCCAGAAAACCTAAGCAAATTCTCAAAATCCCCCTGGACAAAATTTCCAGATGGAAAAGGAAGATCCATCTGGGACAATGGAGTCATTTAGCCAATGGGAGAATATGTAAAGCCTGTATGTAAAAAATGTGTACATAGGCCAAGTGACAGTGGCTTACGCTGCCAGGCTTCTGCGTCTACAAGATTATGCCACTACAATGTAGATCCTGGCCATTACAGAGGTGGGTTACCCCTGAACCATAGGAGAGCTGTAGATCTGACCATTAAGGATTCAAACTCATGTCACTGTCCTGATCCTTTCCAGCTCCTTCCTTCAGACACCTCTCCAGAGGTGGGATGTGTTCAGATCCAATACTGTCCTTTGGTTTTCCTATCATTCTGTCTTTGCTCAGTAGGTGTGGCGTTGGGATTTTTCTTCTGGGGCTCCTGCCTTTCCTCACACAGGGTGCAGGTGCCTGATGATGGTCTTGGATTCCTCCCAAAAGACCAGACCATGAGACAGCATCTCACTTGTGAGCATCCAGGTCTCGTGTTGAGCCTGATTTTCAGTGCTGAAACACAGGATTTTAATAATTCTGGAATTACATTTAACCACACTGCTCCAGAAAGGTCATAGAAAACAAGAATTCAGCATCATGTTCTGTGGGATGTTTGACTTTGTCTTGTGCCAAGCTAAACAGTGCTGGGTAAACAAAGAGTAGTTACACGCCTTCCGGAGCAGAGAGACAAAAGATGTGATGTAATCAGAAAGGACAGAAGTGTTTTACATCTTTCTGGAGATGAACTCCTTCTCTTCCCTCTCTATTCCACAGTTCCCATCTCCTTTCCTCTGGGCTTTACTCCCAGTTTCCCTGCCTAATCTGCCGCAGGCTTGGTTGTTTCTGAAATTCAGTCTTCCTGCAGGGATGGTTTCATTGACATACCTGATACGCATGTGTACCCCAGCAGCTGCCAGCAAATATTCTCAACATGACTTGGACAGTGTAGCTATTTTAATCCACTACAGACATCTTCATCCTATCATAATTAGATAAAATTGTAATGTTCTTGCAAGTTGTTCAACATAATGCGCAAATTAAAATTAAATTCTCCACCTGCATTATTTGTAATTCCCCTTGAATCTCTGCTGTTTGGCTTAACATATGTATATACACAGACAGAAGACAAAAAGCCAACATCATTGACGTCAGTCAGTTTGAAAGGGAAGAAGGTTGAATGTTTTGTTGGTCACACCAGTGGAGTTTGGTGTCTCTGAATAGTTGCTTAAGCTGGCAGAATTCAAAACCTCACAGGGAAGAGAAGATGCCTGCACAATTTTTTTTTTGAAAGCCAGGAGAATAAATCCACTGGTGCAGTTATCTCCTGTGAAAGCATCTACACACTCTAGGCCTTCTGCAAAGTTTATGAACTCTGTAGAGTAAGAATATGCAGAGTTAATTCACTCTATCTTCTCCAAGAGTTCAGATCTTCTGCTTTAACCATATGACAGTGATCTAGACTTTATCAGAAGTCTTTTGCTTTTCAAGCATATTTAGCTCAAATAAATAGTGTTTTCTAGGGAAAAATATCTCATGCATTAGGACACTTACTAGAAACAAATGGAGTTTAAGATGATGAATTGAGAGATGCAAACTGTAGCTCTGCAAAGTCCTGGCACTTGGCATAAATCAGGGTCTCAGGCTTATAATGTTCTTGAACCTTTACAAAGACAGAGACAACAACTTTTTGGATAGATAATGAGCACAGTGTGGAATGTATCTGGCTGCGACATGGCTGAGCTTGTAAAGAAAATGGAGCGGTTAAATCCCTTCATGAAGCTAGCACAGCACTCCTTTGTTTTTCTTGAATTTTGGATATATAACCGCTTGACGAAGGTGTGCCTCACAGACCTGAGACACTTTTTCAGTATGTAATTTATTCCACTGCAGGCTTCGAAGGTGTTTAAACATGTGTGGCATTGGTTGGGGGAAAAGAACAGATTTTATTTTATTAGTCCCAACATGATGTACAATAAGATGAAAAATTCGTGGCTACACTTGTCCCATCTTATGTTCCACCCAGCCCTGCAGCTCTTCCACGTGCAGATGCTGCCATCAAAATAACTGCAAGCTTAAAGCTCCAAATTTAGGTTGAAGTGGTCGGCTCGTTTGCATGGTGCAAACAGGGATCTTGGGAGAAAAAAAAATCAGGAAAAAGCATTTCCACCTGACAAGTGGAATCCAGATCTTCAGTTATTTTCACACGATAGTATCCAATTACAGCTTTTTCCTAGGATGTATGGAGGGTTTAGTGGCTGTGGAGATCAGTGCAGAGATGAATAATTTTGCCGTCTGGAAAGGACACCTTCTGGCATCTTGTCATCCAAGCAAATAATGGGTAACTATGTTCTAGCTCATTCCAGTTTTATTTTGGTCCGTGAATATTAATGTAATACTGAAAGATAGGATGGCTAGTATAGTATGATTATAACGAACAAAAATTACTTCAAATACGGCAGCAGATGAGTATGTCTACAGGATAAGTGAAAGCTGCAAAAGGTAATATCCTCTTGAGAAAAGAAATATTCTGCTTTAGTCTCATAAGAACTCTCTTGATGAGCAGATTTTCTTCCCTGTTTTGCCTATATCAGGCTCTGGGATCCAGCGAATCTTTTGCTATGATGAAGTGTTGTTTATTATTCTGGAGGAATAACAAAACAGAAATCACTTGCTAAAAATCCCCAGCTAATGATACCACGGCAAGGTACACGGTGTGGTCAGGATCAGTCTCCTCGCAGCAAAGGACTTCTCTTGGTACTACACCTACCACTGCCTTCGCACTGCTGGCCCCACAGCTAGTTTTCTCCCTCTGGAAAACTAACTTCTCCAGCAGACCAGTGACTCAGCACTCCTGGGGCACAGGACAGACCAGACACCAAGTTTCCCCATTGCCGCGCTGCCTACGTAAAGCTGTTTTGCCTTCCCCCGCGTTCCCATCACATCTGACAGCCGGCACCTAATCCCAGGCGTGGGGAAGCCCTCACTTGCCTCAAGCCGAAGCAAGTGCCCTGAGCAGAGTGAGATGGGATGTCCAGAGGGACGGGCTGGGAGACAGACCCTCTCAGCAGGGCCTGGGAGGAGAAGCAGGCTGTCCTGGCGGCTCTGTGGCTTCCCAGGGTGTCTGCACCTAGGAATAGAAATGAAGCGAACAAGTAACTGTGCTTTTGGAGCAGGGACCAGCTCAAGTCATGGGACTTTTATTGCAGACTTCCCCTGAAGTCAA